CCCACAAATACCCAAACCAACCATGGTGGAAACTACTCATTGTCCTCTAATATCCTTCCCCTTTTCTGTAGTAATAAGCCCCTCCTCCCAACTTTAAGCTGGGCCCACGGATGCCTCCATTAAATAAAAACTTCATTTCTATTGCCCACCTTTGTAACTAGGTGTTGCCATTTGATTAAGGTCTGGCCAAAGGCAAGTAAGAGGAAGTGTGTGTAACATTATGGAGTGTGTTTATTAAAGAGAGGGGCTATAACCCTTCTACCTCTTTCTTCCATCCTGCTGGTTACAACATGGATGTGTTGGCTGAAGCTCCATCTTGGACCACGAGAGCTGGGCTATATTCTAGGGCTGGTAGAGGGAAAAGCTAGAAGCAGACTAGGTTCCAGAAAAGTACACATTTACTATACCAGCCTTATGATTCTTAATTCTGGATATTTATGAGATATGCTATCTTGTGTAAGCATCTGAATAGTCCAGTATGTAGGAGATATAATAGAAATATGGAGAAAGTTATAACATTCTACTGAAAAACATAAAGGAAGACGAAGTGTAAAATGGAAAGCTATTCTATGCCCATGTTTGGGAACACAGAATAGTCTAAGAAAGTTGGTTGTTTCCAAATTAATCTATAAATTCAATGTATGTCCAAGCAAAATTCTGACAATCTCTTATAGAATATACTAAGTTGACTCTAAAATTCATATGTAAGAATCATCAAGACAATTTTGAGGAATAATAAGGAGAAAGGGCTTTAAAGCTCAGATTTAGTATCTAAAAATTAAAACAGAAAGATGGGGTGCAAAGGGGCTCCTCCAACTGTACTTGTAACATTTAATTAAACAGAAAAAAATTTATAGCACGTTTGGCAATGTTTGGTGTGTTCATGTGTGTTTGTTTCTCTCATTTTTGTTCAGTTTTGAAACATCTCATAATAAAAATGATTAAAAATAAAATACTTGGTACGTAAAGATTCAAGAAAAGAAAAAAGAAATGTCACGTGCCTCACTCTGAGGATTAATTCTTAGCTTATTTCTTCAGTCTTATGCTATGTCTTGCATTCTCCTAAAAAGAGGCAAAGGAATGTGAAGAAGGAACACCGGCTTCAGAGACAAACAGGAAATCTGGATTTACAGCCTACTTCCCCCACTTACTGTATGACTTAGCCCCATTTTCCTTATTTGGATAATGGGATAAAAATCCTCACTGGAGATGACTGTCCTGAGGTCATCTCAGGTCAAGATGATCTTTATCTATGATGACTACCATTGACACAATTGACAAAGCTTCCTTCCACGTATTTGCAAGATCATAAAATAACTCAAAATCCATGTAGGAGAAACCAAGAAATTCAAAGCTTTTAAGATATATTCTGCTTAGCTCTATGAAACAAATACCTAAAATATTTCATGGGAGTGTTTCCTTTGCCCTTTAGTCAATAATGCTTTGTCTATATTTATGGAAACTTGCAAAATTTCCTTCCAGTTTTCTGGAAAAAATTTGGCAGTATTGTTATAATTCTGATTCCTGAAGTGTCTAGTCAGGTAGAGCCCTCCCTTTTCTGTTCAAAGAGTGTTGCCTTACAGTACATTGAGAAGTAAGAAACCTTGAGTTTTAGTTCAGTTTTGCCATGGACCTTCTCTTCAAAGTCATGCACTTAAGAAACATCAGAATTGTTAGTAAATAAATACTCATGAAAGTCTTTGAGATTAGGAAAAAAAAGGCCAAACTTGCTGAAGGTCATTACTCTTTCATGACATCATCACCATCATTACCATCATTACCACCTAACTTGGTTGTGAATATCTGCTGAGGAACAATGACTATTAAAGGAAAAACTGAATATGCTTTTAGATCATTTTTATTTGATGAAGGTTCCCAAATGCTTCATTTCTAAATATTTTTTCCCGCTTCTTTCCTCTCTTTCTCCTGCTAGGAAAGGCACCAATGCCCAGACCTGGCTACAGGCCCCAGGAGCCCAATGGCTGCAGCTCCTACTTCTTGGGTCTCAAGGTACCAGAAAGTGTATGTACCACCACCATTATTTTCTTAGTTGATTAGCTTTAACTAAGACAAATCCAAGAGCTATTACGGATGGAAATGGTCACTTATAAAGTATAGTTGAGCAATATAATGAAGTGTTTTAAATTGGATGCTGAGGAAGGGAGAAAAAAATTTTTTTTTAGGAATCTGATTTCCTTTTCTCAGCGGCAGCTGTCCCTCAGATAAGCTCTTTGAAATGACCGCTGCAAACATTAGCCAAGCTTTAGGGGGATCAAACGTAACTTAATATGAGATAGATCTGAGAAGTCTGACTTATTTACATTAGTGAGCCTCCCCAGGGCTATGCTGGAGCCGGCTGGTACCGACCAGTGAGGGCTGACTGCTGTAGTATCAGCAGGACTTTTCATGTTGGTAGTGTCAAATGTTTGGGGTATTAACACCATACAAATCTGCAAACTCCTACCCACAACACACACACACACATCCAGCCTCTGGCTAAACATTTATCATCACACTGCTGACCATTTCTCAAACTGCCAGCCTCCCCTAAAAACAAGTAATACATTAGTTTCTTTTAAGACTTTAGAAAAGACATTTTATGTAAAATGTAGGTAGAAGGGTTTCATATCCAAACTGTGATTTTGAATTGTATCTTAATCAGGCTAAACTTTCCTTTTCTGATGATTCAAAAAATTTCACTTTGTAATAGTTTTCTAAGCAGCATAATGTTTATTCTTTTAACTAAAACCCTGCTCACCCATGTGGCATTTTTGTACAACTTGGAAAAAGGTCCCCTTTCTTCAAGACAGTTTTTTTTCTACGTGTCAGAAATTTATCTTAATATACTGATTTTGTTAGAAAACGAAACTTGACTGCTATTGGCTAGATGTTTTTGTTAATAAATATATAAAGCTATGATGTCTGTGGGAAGGTGCCCCCTTAGGTATGATGCTCTTGTGTAGTGCCCAACCTGCACAGGTGTACTCCCAGCCTTGTCCGCAATCATTGATACGTGTATTGACACAAAAGAAAGATAATCCTTTCAAATATATATTTATATTAGAGAAACCACCTATTTTCTTTTTTTTTTTTTTTTAAAGATTTTTATTGGGGATTTGGGGGATAGGAACAGCGCTGGAGAATTGGGGGAAGGGGAACAGACAAGTTGCTGTCCTTTTGTTCTTCAGTCTAGTTGTGGAGGACGTTGCTTCACTGGCCCAAGTTGGCACCATCATTGCGCTCTTCCCGGGCGAGACAGATCATTCGCCAGCTTCTGGACTGCCGCTCACCGCGGCTTCTGGCTGCTCTCACTGGCTGCTGGCTACACACGGTAGCCCATGGCAACCCACTGCAGCAGGGGCTGCAGAACTACGCCTTCTCCAGCAACTCAGGGTAGCCCAGCTCCAGGTTGAGCTGTTGTTCAGCATCTTAGATGTAGAGGGCAGTGTCACTGGCCCTCATATGTGGGATCCGAATCGGGGCCCTCTGGCATCCTAAGCCAGTTATTAACCAACGCGCCACTCGGCCGGCCCAGAAACCACCTATTTTCAGCTAATATATTTTACTTGATATCAATTTAGTAGCTAGGGAAGTGGTAGGCTCTATTTTGGAAATAATGTCATTTTGTTTATTGATACAAATATCATTAAGAACAAGTTCAAGAATTTCCAATTCAGTTGAATTGAATGATAGCAACTATACACATCTAATTCTGTTATCTCTGTTGTGATATATTTTTCATTTTAGGGGTGAGCTACAAGCAAAGTAGTTTATTTCAGATATCGGGTGATGGGAATTTACCCAAAATTGCAGAGTCCAGGCTTTTGCCTAGTCTAATAATGAGTTAGACTATCTCTCACTGTAATAATGTTTGTTTGTTTTGCTAAGCGGACATTTTAAACTGCCAAACTCCATATTCTGCTTTCAGTGGCCTTGAAATAAAAGTTCGAATAAAAAAAACACTTAAGGACTAAAGGGGAAAGAATCTAAAATAGCTGATTAATCAATCTCATTCATACCCTGAAACCAGAATTTCACAAATTCCACTAGAGGCCAAGTTTATATAGAAAAACTGAAAAAGATTCCAAGGTGCTCTACCTACGTCTAGACCCACCCTGTTCCCATCTATTTTATACACCATAGAACAATTGCTCTTTGTATCATGTTCCTTCCTTGCTTAAGAGTGTTGATCAAATTTAACTAGTTATTGGGAAGTCAAGGCTATCCATCAGCTAACCCTTCCCCCTAATTAATGAAAACTTTTTATATGTATGTATTTCCCTGCTTAGACCCTTGAAAGATTAAACTAACTGACTTGCTCACATATCATTTGCTCATTATTTCCTTTCTTTACCTGCTATATTCTAAGTCTACCGTTATCTCTATTAATTCTTCTCTCCATATCCTTTCAAATTCTCTAAAAAAAGTCCTATGTGTAACATCTATATATGGCATTCTATAAATTTACTCAGTTTATGCCACAACATTTACAATTGTTTATAGGACACTTAAGAAGTGTGTGTGTGTGTGTGTGTGTGTGTGTGTGTGTGTTAATATTGCTGTTTGACCATAATCCCTTGTGGTCAGGAACTCTGGGTCCTATACCAGACTCTGCTCCCCAGCACACAGACACATGTCCACACCCTTACAGAGTGCTGTAAGGGCTGGGTCCCTGATAAATGCTTGTGACCTCTTGATGAACTGAGGCTTAATTTTTCATACTTTTGAGCTTTGGATCCTTTGCTCAAACAAAATCTCACATAGGTTTTAGTTGAATTTGGAAGTCCTAAAGCTTTGCTGTCTTGACTAACCTTCTGATTTCTATTTTTATCACATAGTGGACTGTGAAATTTTTTTTTAATAATAGAGTTATTATTAGTTTTTTTTATTAGTTTCAAGTGTACAAAACAATGTAATAGTTAGACATTTACACCCCTCACAAAGTGATAATTCCCTGCCCCAATCTACTACCCCTCTGACATCGTATATAGCTGTTACTGTTCCACTGACTCTATTCCTAGTAGCCTGTGAATTTGAAAATTGCTAAAATCTAAAAGAAAAAGAAAAAAAAACAGGCCACTCAGAGTTAACTAAATCATGACTGAAACTTAGCACCCAATGACTATCAACCTGATGTATTCTCTCAAGTCACCGGTGTTTCTCAACTGATCTGAGTATGTAACAGGAATTTGAGAACTAGCTCGTTCAAACAACGTGGGCAAGGTTGCCTAAGGTCCTTGGTCTCAACGTGGCATTTTCTTCCTCCTCTTTTCCCCAGATGGACATGGGCATTCCAGCAATGACCAAGTGCTGCAACCAGCTGGATGTTTGTTATGACACTTGCGGTGCCAATAAGTATCGCTGTGATGCAAAATTCCGGTGGTGCCTCCACTCTATCTGCTCTGACCTTAAGCGGAGTCTGGGCTTTGTCTCCAACGTGGAAGGTAGGTACCTTAAGGGCATCTACTTGTGAGCAGGGAGTTTTTTTCCTGTTTTCACACAGAAATGTAGCCAGAGCCCCTGAACAGGTCATCAAAGCTCACTGAACTTTCTAGAACACTAAACAATGCAAGAAAAAGCTGAAGGAAGACGCTGGGCACGCCTTTGCTCAAGTTCTTGCTGTCCTGCCCAGGAGCTGCTGGCGCCACTCCTGATGGACGGGGCCACACCAAAGCCTTTCCAGAGATATAAAAATTTATCCTTTAGGGCTGGAGAAAGAGTTGTCCAGTTGGCTTTTGGTATCTGTTCTACTGTTAAATAATTTTCCATATAAGGAATTATTCTGTATAGGACCACTAGGTTTGGCTTAGGCCCCCCTTTTTTTCTTATTTTGTTCTCAGTCAGGGAAAGAATTTTTATAAACCTATCTATTTTTGTGTAAAGGCCTATATATGCTTGAGGATAATTATTTTTAAACAACTGCGTAGCTCTCCAATTTTTAGCACTGATTCTGTCATTTCTTTTTCCTAATTCACTTTAGGAAAAGTTTTCATCCCTCAGTTTCTGAAGCCAGAACATTACATCCAGGTATTAGCATTATATATTTAGATGGTGATGTTTGAAAGTCAGGCTTGTAAAGAGCTGATCCCATGCCACCGAGAAGGTCAGTAGGGAGAATCTTAGATCTTGTTCATAGATCAATGTCTAGAGTGTTGTCATAAAGTGAATCTGTGAGGGCTTAAAAATATGACTAATTAATTAGGTCCTGTAAAAGGCCTAATCACTTTATCTGTACCTACAAAGGGTAAGAAAGTACCTGCTGCTCATCTAGAGTCAGGTCAAGTTACTTCCTCCAAGCAATGTCATACTGATTCTTTCTCCTAAATATCTCTGATAACCTACCTGGTTACTGCAAATTAACCCAATCTCTGAGTCCCATCCAATTTATTTTCCCCATAGGGACCACATATATTTTTATACCACACAAACCTGGTCATCTTCCTCTTCCTTAGGATTAAATTCAAACTTTTTAGAATGACATACACATCCCTTTCTGGTTCATTTCTAGCATATCTCTCCAGCATCAACTTCCTTATTTCTGATTTCTCTCCTGACTTCTGCCATTCTAAATTACTTGGGTTGGTGACCCATATCTTTTTGCCTCTTTAGTTCCTTGGAACACTTTGAGCATTCATTTTTTTTTGTTATTGTTGAAACAGCTTTATCAATGGTGAAAAGCTGAAAGCTTTTCTTCTAAAATCAGGAATAAGACAATGAAGCCCACTCTCACCACTTCCATTCAACATAGTATTGGAAGTCCTAGCCAGAGCAATTAGGTAAGAAAAAGAAAAGTCACCCAAATTGGAATGGAAGACATAAAACTGTCACTATTTGCAGATGACATGATATTATATATAAAAAAACTGTTAAGACACCGCAGAAAAACTGTTAGAACTAATAAACAAGTCATTAAAGCTGCTGGATACAAAATCAATATACAAAAATCTGTTGTGTTTCTATACACTAATAACAAACTATCAGAAAGAGATTTTTTTAAAAAATCCCATTTACAATTGCATCAAAAAGAATAAAATGCCTAGGAATAAATTTAACCAAGGAGGTGAAGGACCTGTATACTGAAAACTATAAGATGCTGATGAAAGAAATTGACAAAGACACAACTAAATGGAGAGATAGTCTATGCTCATGAATTGGAAGAATTAATATTGTTAAAAATGTCCATACTACCCAAAGTAATCTACAGATTCAATGCAATTCCTATCACAATTCCAACAGAAGGCATCTAAAATGCCTTCCATAATAACCCTTACCCCAAAGAGACAGAGACCTTTACTGTGGGCCCCCATACCACCTTGGGATTATTTCCATTATGGAATGGTGTAACCATTTGTTTACCTGTCTATCCTGTCCACTTCTTTGTCCAAACTGAGAGTCTTGAGTTACCTCTTTGGTTTCTGTATCCGTGATGTCTAACAGAGTGGCTGACCAACATATGCAACAGGCACGCATGTTTTTTCAATGAGTGAATGATTATTCGTTCCACCTTTGAGAAGAGAAAGCTATAGGAAACATAGTAGTCTTATCTGAGGGAGTATGCTGCAAAAATGGTAAAATTTCGGGCCGGCCGAGTGGCGCAATGGTTAAGAACTGGCTTGGGATGCCAGAGGGCTCCGGTTCGGATCCCACATATGAGGGTCAGTGACACTGCCCTCTACAGCTAAGATGCTGAACAACAGCTCAACCNGTTTTGTTCTTCAGTCTAGTTGTGGAGGACGTTGCTTCACTGGCCCATGTTGGTATTATCATTGTGGTCTTCCAGCATGAGGCAGTTGGTTGCCAGCCATTGGACAGCCTCTGACGGTGGCTCATGACAGCTCACAAAAGCACACACCTGCTGCCAGCCAGCCTCACTTCAGCTTACGCCATAGCCTGCGACTCAGAGCAGCCGAGCTCCAGGTGGAGCTGTTGTTCACCATCTTAGCTGTAGAGGGCACAGTGTCACTGGCCCTTCATATAGGATCTGAACCCAGGCCCTGCTGCTCAGAGCTGGCGTCCCAAGCCAATTCTTAACCAGCACGCCACTTGGCCAGCCCTATCAGCAAAATTATTAGAGATAAGTTCCACTATCAAATGTAGACATTTGTTTCTTCATTAAAATTATTTCCGATTTCTTTAAATCTATTATATGTGCATTTGTAAAAGAACAATCCAAAGAAAAAATAAACTCACCATAATCTCACCTCCAAGACGAAATACACATTTGATCATATGGCATAGTGTGATTATTTTCACAAGTGTAATTTGATTCATATTTAATACACTACCCATTTCCCCGCTCTCAGTGCTTGTCACACACACACACACACACACACACACACACACACACACACACACTGGGTTAGTAGAGTTATCAGTAGTACTAAGTTGTATTTCTCAAGACCTTTGAAAAGTAATACAGGGATTACTGGTGGGCTGGCAGACTCCATCAATAAGTACAGTACCTCTTCATTACAAATAAGAAACATTGGGTAAAAATAAAACATAAAAAAAATACACACTCAAGCTAGAAAGAAATAAAGGGAAACCTGCAAGTTCCAGAAACGAAGAAAAAAACGCATAGTCTAAGTGAGCTGGCGCTGATGCTGTGGCCGTGGCCCGTGAGATTTTCAGTCTGGAATGCATGTAGACTCCAGGCTGAGAAATGGGCTATAATGCTCATACAAAGAGAGGAAACGTGACTTTTCACCTTTCCCAAGAATTGGGAAGTTGGAACTGGACAGTCTGCATAAAGCTTAGAGCCTGAGGAGCTGCCCAGTCTACTTAAAAAAGATTAGAAAACATCTACCCAATATTCCAAGCAAGCAGCAAGGATTCTTTCCATCTACCTGGGGCTGGGACTTGAAGGAGAAATAAAGAACACCCACTAAAACAATCACTACCCCAAACATATTCTGTACACAGGTGAGGAATCTGAGAAATTAACATAAATACTGGTGTCTCAAGTATCTTGAAACTCCCAGAGACACTGCAAAAGCAATTGAGGGAGTACTTTGTATGCAACCCAGGGCGTGGGAATCATTTAGAAAAACAAGCCCTTCTGAAGATGAGCTCATACTAAAAAATTATACACCATGTGAAAAAATAATCCACCATAAGGGGGAGTCAGTAGACATTAAAATGAAAAGCTTATCCCAGGCTGGCCGAATGGCACATTGGTTAAGAGCGGGCTTGGGACGCCAGAGGGCCCCGGTTCGGATCCCACATATGAGGGCCAGTGACACTGCCCTCTACAGCTAAGATGCTGAACAACA